GACTATATTCACATGCGTCTATTTCTGGGCTCTCTATTTGTTCCATTGATCTAGTTGTCTATTCTTTCACCAATACCACACCATCTTGATTACCATAGTTTTATAGTAAGTCTTCACATCAGGTAATGTAGGTCCTCCAACTTCGTTCTTCTTCAATATTGTGTTGGCTATTCTGAATCTTTTGCCTCTCCATATAAAGTTTAGAATCATTTTATCTACAAAACAACTTGCTGGGATTTTGATTGGGATTGCATTGAATCTATAGATCAAATGGGAAGAACTGGCATCTTGAGAATATTGAGTATTCCTATCCAGGAACATGGAATCTCTCCATTTATTTAGTTCTTTATTGATTTCTTTCATCAGTTTTGTAGTTTTCCTCATATAGATTTTGTACAGATTTTGCTAGATTTATACCTAAGTATTTCATTTTGGGGGTTGCTAATGTAAAAAATATTGTGTTTTTAATTTCAAATTCCACTTGTTCATTGCTGGTATATAGGAAAGAGATTGACTTCTGTATATTAACCTTGTTATCTTGCAACCTTGTTATAACTGTTTATTAGTTCCAGTTTTGTTGTTGATTCTTTCATACTTTCTACATAGATAGTCATGTCACCTGTGTACAAATATAATTTTATTTTTTCCTTCCCCATCTGTATACCTTTTATTTCCTTTTCTTGTCCTATTGCATTAGCTAGAACTTCCAGTACAATGCTGAAAAAGAGTGGTGAGAGGGGACATCCTTTCCTAACCTTATCTTGGTGGGACAGCTTCAAGTGTTTCACCATTAAGTATGAGGGATGGATCTTTTCATCTGTTCTCAGTGCCCACCAGAGAACATCCATTGCAGAAGGTGCTGAACAACTAGGTGAACAGATGACTTGTCCACAGATGTCAGCCAGCCCCTGTCCTCAGCTACCTCGGTGCCCGCACAATGAACCTAATGATGAAGTAGTCATGGTGGTAGGGATGGAAGCTGTGCATGGGCCCCACGGCACGGGCCCCCCCGCAACAATACTCATTTGGCTACTGCTGCTGCTGAATATCCAAACTGTCAGCAGCAGAAATTCGTGCTGAGCCCTTCATATAGTGTTATCACTCTAGGAGAACAATCAGTCCATTTGTTACAAGTTGATTACATTGGACCTCTTTCACTCTGGAAGGCGCATTCATCTTTACTGAAACTGATACGTATTACAAACATGGGTTTGCCTTACCTGTCCACCACGCCTCTGCCAGTACCACTATCCAAGGCCTCACGCGGGATCTTGGATAACATAGTCTCAGACCAAGGAGCCCACACAAAGCTCAAAGAAGTATGACAATGGGCACGTGAACACAAGGACTATTGGTCCTCTCATATACTGCAGCACTTGGAAGTTGCCAGATTATTAAATGTTGGAATTACTTTACATCAGATAATGCCCTATGGGGCTGAGGTGCTGTCCTTCATGATGTGATATATACATTGAACCAACAACCCGATCACGTAATTTGGGGAAGCAAGGGGTAAATAGGAGTGGCTCCTCTCACCATCATTTTGTTACTCACTTGGGGATTTTGTGCTTCCTGATTCTGTAGCTTTAGGCTCTGGGGATTAGTATTCCTGGTCCCCAGGGGTTCTACCAATAGACACAGTAAGGGTTTCACTTAACCCAAAGTTATGACTGCTGCCTGCTCATTTCAGGACTCTTCAAGTCAGTAGACCAGAAGGCAAAGAAAGGAGTTACCATACTGGTAAAGGGCAACTGACCCTAATTATCACGAGGAGCTTAGGTTGCTGCTACACAATGGGGCAGGAAGGAGTACTTCTGGACTTAGGATTCACATGGGTGCTTCTTGGTGATACTTGGGGATAACAATAAATGGGAAATTTCACAACTACAACATGACAAGAGCAAAATAACCAGGGGCTCAAATCTCTAAGAAAGGAAGGTCTGACTCACCTCACTAGGCAAGCTATGCTGACCAGCAGATGTGCTGGGTGAGAGTGAGGGGAAATCTAGACTAGGCAGTGGAAGAATTTGGAGATGTTTTCCATACAGTGTCTCAGGGGGTCCCCAGCACGATTGAGCCCCACTTGCCCACAGTTGTGACTCTCAATTTGTCTCAATTCCTCATTCTCCCACAGGACTTCCTGGAATCACTTCCCAAATCCTTATCCTACAGGCTGCATTTGGGAGAGCCCAAGTAAGACTCTTTTCAACAAGGTTATCATGAGATCTTTGTCAAGCACCTTACTGAAATCCTGATATACTATGTCTCTCTCTCTCTCCTAAAACACAAATGAGTTTAGTCTGCTATGATTGTTTGCTAGTGAGACCCAGGCTGGCTCCTGGTGATTATAAGTTTCTTTTCTAAGTGCTCGTGAAAATCCACTTAATAAGCTATTAATTTGATAGCTTTGTTCATTGTTACTTTTTAAAAATTATGAAGGACTTTCAAATTCCAATTTTGCTTTGTCTAACATTGGTAGTTTTTTATCTGTAAAATACTGAAACATTTTTTCTATATGGTGTTGAAAACCGTTTTGTTTAAATGTTATTGTCTAAACACTACTATTTTGGGGACGGCCCGGTGGCGCAAGCAGTTAAGTGCGCACGCTCTGCTGCGGCGGCCCGGGGTTCGCCGGTTCAGATCCTGGGCGCACACTGATGCACTGCTTGGCAAGCCATGCTGTGGCAGCATCCCATATAAAGTGGAGGAAGATGGGCATGGATGTTAGCCCAGGGCCAGTCTTCCTCAGCAAAAAAAAGGGGGGGGGAGGATTGGCAGATGTTAGCACAGGGCTGATCTCCTCACAAAAAAATAAATAAATAAACACTACTATTTTGTTTAAATATTAAATAATATTTTGCTGAGATGGCTTTTATTTCTGCAAGACTTGCTCACGAGAGAAATCATGTCTTAAATTTCTAATGGCAATGCTTTAGAATATAAGCATTTACACATAAGTAAAAGGAAATCATTAATGCCGAATTTTTGCAATCCAATATATCTAAAAGCACCAAGCATTTAAAAATGTAAACATCTTTATAAACCCTTTGGAGTTCATCAGAATGGAAATAGCAAATAGCAAAGGTTTTATCAAGGAGGATTACAAATTTAATGGAGAGTAATATTTTCCTTATAATGAGTTATGTAGGACATAAGCAAATGATCATTAAACATTTATTTAATATAGACTCAAAATGTAATACATAATAAGAAAAAATAAACACTTAAGTGTTGAACAGAAGAAATTAATAACAAAAAATCTTTACATTAGACTTTTGTCAACCAAAGGTCTGAGTCCTAATTTAGCAGGAACCTTGAATATTTAAGTTAAACCAAAGCTGCATTATGACAGCCACTAGTGCACAGTCTACACAGCTGAGCACACTGAAAGTTCAATTGGGGCTTGGGCCAACATTCTTAGAAACCAAAAATATATAGATTAAAAAGGATTTCTTTCTTAGTTAAATAAGATAAATCCTAAAACTAGGGAAATATTCAAAAATAAAAATTTAAAGTTGCATTTTGCTAAGGGCATGAGTTAAAACACACACGCACACAAAACAGTGACAAAGCCAAAGCACAGAAAGTATATATATGTGAAAGAATCGTGTGGATTTATGTAAGGAATATTGTATTTGTTTATCGTAATGTAGGGCATAGTTAGGTTTTAAGGTATCAGAAATACTTTTGAATTTATTATTGAACTGAAACACACTATACAGAATATTTCAAAGTTGCTACCAAAAAGCAAGTTGAAATTCTACCTGGCAATATAGGTTTCTCAGCATATGTTCCTTCCCTACAGGCATCAAATAAAGAAAGGTGTAGGGAGGAAATAATTAAATGGTTTCTGAAGGGGACACTAGCCATTTAATCAAGAGTTCTGACTCAGAATTATATAGAATATGCTGGTCCATAAATAATGGAATAGATTTTTGGAGAGAGTATCAATTTTGGGCTAAAGAAATAAAGGGTGAGACTGGAACCCCCAGCGAAAGCTCTAAAAGGACACAGAAACTGATGAGTGACCTGAATAGTGACACAGAGGAGGAAAAAATACGCAGCAAGTGCTGGTTTGTTATTAGATTTTTCCCTCCCTCCTCTGATTCATTCATCTTTTTAAGACTGCCTTCTGTGTCCTTTTGGGGGGAAATTATCTTACCCTTTATCAATTTGTTCCTTCAATATTTTAACATGAAGTCTACAAGAAAAAATAACAAATTCGAGTATTAAAAACTTGAATAAAGGTAAATGAGCTTTATCCTCTGATCAGTAAACTCTTCTTGGTGAATAAAATTTTCTCTTATTAGACAGCATTCATTTAGGGTGTGACACTCTGCTTTTGGAAATGGGAATAATTACTTCCAACAATGTGTTAAAAGTAAGTACTTTCCTTCTGAGGCATTACAGCTTTATGAACATTATTTTATTTATCTTTAGAGTATACAGTTGCATTACACAACTGCAGATGTGATCCCTAATTTCTAATGATTTATCCAAAATCACTCAAGAAAAAGCAGGACCAATGGAAATATAATCAAAACCTCTCGAAAAAGCAGTTACTGTAGATGCATATAAATAAATAAACTATACTCGAAAGTTGATTCGGCGATCCGGTAACTGATTTTATGTTGAATATAAGTCTTTTTAAAAGTTTTCTTGTTTAACATGTAATCTAAAAGAATATTCTAGAAACTGAAGTATAGATTACACTTATTCTGAGCCTAGATACCTTCTCAACTATAGAAGTACAGGATGGATCTGACTTCTCCATCAGTAATACAGACTCATGACAAGTTGTGCTGCAAAAAGTGCCTGAATCTCTTCTCATAAACATAGCATTTAGCTAAAGAAACCAAAGAAGTTAACTGAATCCTCATGTTCACTATTAATTTTCATTATAACTGGTAAAAATGCTGCCTATAATAGACAGTATTGATATTTTCAATGAATTCATATTTTTTTTGATGATCAAGTAGAGAAAATGAATTAGATTTCAGTTTTAAAAATAAGGTTTATTTGTAGTAACTATCTTTAAGAACTACATTTATTTATTTTTACCCTGGGGAATGCACAAGTATGGACAAGGCCAGCTTTTACACTTACTAAAAAGGTATACTCTTTATACTAATGCAAAAGAGTAAGACTCTTCTTTGCACTCTAAAACTTGCTTCTTCATTATAAAGAATTCTCACTGCATTTGAACTGAGACACTGGAGCCCTCTGCAGAAAGGAGTGTGGGACGATTGGCCAGAATCAGTCCGTAGGCTTTCTCTTTTCTCAGTTAAGTAACTGAAACAGGAACTCTAGTTCTAAATATTAGAAGCAAAGTTTAAACATTAGAACAATAAAGAGAGGGATTCTTAACAGACTGCTTCAGAATACATGCCTGAGGCGAGAGTGGCTTGTCCTTTCACGTTGTGGCAGCTTCCAGATGAATCTTCTTCAATTTCTAATCTTCAGATTCATATCTGGAAAGAGATATGAATTAAATTAGGAACACAGTGTCATGACACTTTTTGTTGCTGTTGTTACCAAATGAGTTTACTTGAAACATCTCCAAGACTAAACCAGACACACTGCATTTTCCACTTAAGATGACTGCTATGGTACAGTCAGATGCCTTTAAGGCAGCATGCTGGTGACTCGGGGGATTCCTGCCGCAGGAGGGAGAGAATGCACCTGACAACTGCTAAGATACCTTCAGACTCCAAGACTCTGTATCTGGCATTTAGATCTACGATAGCTTAGAACAGAAATTTACTAATTATCTAAATGGTCAGATCGGCACAAATAGGTGATATGGCTGTGTGAGTAAAGGGTTAACAAACCTCCTTCTTATAGGACAAATGTGATCTTGGATTCACTTTCTAGCTCTGTCCCCCTGGAGCCCTGATAAAGGTAAAATGTCAGCTGAGTTTCCAGGCAAAATCGCTAATGACAACAATGCCCCTGAGCAGTAGACTACACGTAGGCCAGGACAACTGTGAACAAACTATGAATAGTGTCGGGAGCCACAGCTTCAGGCTTCCCTCTGTGGGTGAGTTCTTATAACCAGACGTGTCCTTACCTGGGCATCACGTGGTTCTACCAGAGATACCGGTCTCAGGTGGAGCAGGGGCTTCTAAGCCACACTGGCTATGGCACCCACCCACACGGACCTCATTCTCTAGCACTAAATTGTCACTTGAGGGCACATATGACCAGGTCTTGGACTGCTGCAAGGATACCACCGAGGAAAAATGCCTAACGCTGCCCTGCCAGCTTGCAGTGTTTCCTGTCTGATACCTGCTAAGTGAATCCACTGCCAAGAGCAGCCTACTGCAGTTGTGTGGGACTCTGAAGCTCTAGCCGAACCTAAAAAGGAGCTCTGGTAGGCACTACGGACAAGGCCTAGCTAGAGCTCCTCTGCTTTCCTCAGACGCAGGCTTCTGGACTACACGACAGAGCAACTACCCACCGGCCTGACCTCTCTGGACACAAGCTTAGATTTAATGAAGAACAGATATCAACCCAGTGGAGAGACAAATTCAGAAGCAGGATTGGATGGCTTACTTTGCCAGTCTTTTCCTCAGGTCTTTGATTTGGTCATTCTTCCTGGTAAGAATCTCTTTCATGTTTCGATAAGCTGCTGTTTGTTGGAATTTCTTCTCTAACTCCTGCGTAGTGAAAAATGTTAGCCCATTACTAAGAAACAGTTAAGGAACGAAATAACAAATCTGATGAAAATGTATATTTTTTTGCCTCAATTTTACTAATATTGTGCTTATATTCTTTTCTGACTTCTTTTAAAAAAATATACTTATATAAAACTAAGACTATCTAAACTTTAAAAATACATTCTTTCAAATGAGAAGCCAATAAAATAGTAATATTTTCCCAAGTACAATGTTAGCAAATAACTCAAACATACTATGCCCTAGACATGGGAAATATATTTGAAATAGTAAATTAATTTTCAAGCAAAATAAGCACAATCCTTTTTCCAAATCCCAAAGTAGTATGAGTATTTTAGGAGGAAGATTTTTAATTTAGTTAAATGTTAGCTCCCATATTCTTTTTTAAATTTCTTTTTTGCTGGGAAAGATTCTCCCTGAGCTAACATCTGTTGCCAATCTTCCTCTCTTTTCTTTTTCCCGTCCCCAAAGCCCCAGTACATAGTTGTATATTCTAGTTGTAGGTCCTTCTAGTTCTTCTCATGTGAGCCGCTGCCACAGCACGGCTACTGACAGACGAGCGGTGTGGTTCCACGCCCGGAAACTGAACCTGGGCTGCTGAAGCGGAGCGTGCCGAATTTTAACCACGGGCCATCAGGTCACAGGCCACTCATATTCCTAAGAGTCTAATCTCCAAAGTGATGAACCCAGTTCTCTACATATTTCATATGAATTAAAAGGTACAGAATCCTTTAACAAGGCCACCATCCCTCTGCCAGGCTGTGGGGGCCGCGCAGGAAGAGCAACACTGGGGTGCAGGGCAGTGGGTGCAAGCCACCTGGGGCGGGGTATGTTACCACACCAGGGGAAGGAGTGGAGACTTTTCATTATCACAGATATTGTAGTGTCAAAGATGGAAGATTTTCAGTGTCCAGAAATGATAAATCTTTAGAACACATATTGGCTAATCCTTGATGAAAAACAAGGTGAACCTGCAGTGGTCCAGCGTTTCCCTGAGTTATACTTGTTCCTCTATACTGCATTCATCCCTTAAGTGGACAGGAACAAACAAATCTGACCTTCTCAGCCAGGCTTAGCTGCTCCTGAACTCTGAGTAGGTCGTGCTTGGCTGTCACTAGATCCTCCTCCAAGGACTTCTGGTTTTCTGTCTTGTCATTAAGTGTCTTCTCAAACTCACTCTTCAAAGCAGCAACAGTGTTTTCCAAGTCACTCAAGTCTTGGACCTTTATAAAATCCTATTAAAAACACAGACATTAACATAATTTCATGTTAACACCCTAAACAGTAACTGTTTTAGAGTGATGATTCAACAGCATGAGATGAAAGAACGTGAGCCTCCCTTGCCAGCCTGGGGAAGCTCCGGCTCTCTGAGGGTCGCACGGTGTCCTGCACATGGCAGACAGGGCTCACTCATTTCCAAATACGTAAAATATGATTTACGAACTGCTGGATTTCTGAAGAGGAACAAGGGAGAGGTGAGATCCTAGATTTGACAAGGTCGTGTGTCCCAGAGTTGGGGTGGCAATTGGTTTCATTTTTGAAAAGTCAAGTTAAAAAAAGTCCTGGTGAAGAATTTTAAATGATACAGATGGAAAAATAATAAAATCAATACAATTTATATCAAAAATTTAATAGACTTATGTTTTGGTTATTTACAATAAAATATGAGAGCCTAATTAATGCTTACTGGTTATATGGTTAGCTAAATTTACAGGTTTTTATACTAATTAGTGGTATGCATGTTCGCACCCTCGATCAGCATAATACAACAGCTGGGTCTCCTCTCCACCTGGATTTTGTTTTTGACTGGATAAAACTTATAATAGGAAGAAGAATTGTACTAATAAGACAGAAAAATGGTCTATAATTGCTAAATATGAAAATGAAGCAGTACTATCAACAAAAGAAAAATTCCTTACTCATTTTTGAAATCTGGTCTTTAAAAAAGATTTTATTTCATTGCAACTAGTGAAGGAATGTATGCATTTTGCTTTTGCCAAGATCTTAAAAGTAAAATTGGAGCAAAATCCAAAATGGCTTTTAAAACAAATTCATCATCCAAAAATGTTGGCAATTGTTTTACTTTTGAGAAATTATAAAGCTGTTCTAGAGTATTTAGCTCTTTGTTTTATAAATCTATGTATCGTTCCTGGTCTATAGTGATTGAAAATCATATACATTTTCCTTTGTTTTTTTAGCCATATAAGAAGTATCCTCCTGTTTTAAAAATACCTACAGACGAAATGATGTAATATCTGAGATTTGCTTCAAAAAAAAAAACAGGGGGAGGGGAGAGCAAAGGAGAGGTAAATATGAAACAGACTGGCTATGCCTTGATGATACAGCAGAGTGATGAGTCCTGGGGCTGCATTATACTATTCTCTCTACTTTTGTATATGTTTGAAATATAGAAAAAGCATAACAAAAGTCTAATGAAGTAGGTTTTGGGATTGTTTAGTAGACACTTACAATGACAATACAACCATCAACAAAGCCAGTGCTGCACTGAAAATTCACTCAACTGGTCCTGCTGACATGAAATCCTGGTACGGCATCCAGCCTCAATGGAAAGGCCACAGAGGGCACAACTGTGCACAAGATAACTTCCAGCAGGTGGAGCAATACTCAGTCATTCCTCTCAGACAAGCCTGGACAACTTCAACACTGGGTAGCACCGTATTATACAAGTACTGCTAGATATAGATGGATGTGAAGATGCACAACCAGTAAATTCATTCTATTTTGTCGTACTCACCGAAGGCAAACTTAAGTGATAATAAGTTCTGTATAATAAAACCCCAATACAAATTCAATTAACTGAAAGCGCTTCCTTTCTTTATTTCCTTTTTCCCATTGTAATTGGAATGTCAGAGTGAAAGGGGAAAGAACTTTAAAAAAATAAATTTAAGAATATCTTGTATGCCAATGGGCTCTCGGGACATGTGAGGGTTGTGAGCTGTGTATCTGCCACTCTGCCCTCCCCTGGCTCTCACCTGGCCTTTCCTGGGCAGGATGTCCGGAGGCAGGACAGTGGCATCTCTCACAGGGAGTGGCAGGGGCTGGGGCATAATGAACAGTAACTAAGACTTAATATTGAGTTTATAACCCTATTCTATTTAGAAAATGTGAAAAAGATAGCTAAAACTTATTTTACCTTTTGATTTTCTTGATCAAGCTGTAAATTTTGCAGTGCTCTTTCTAGTTTTGACTTCTCATCCAATGCATTTGTTGCCTACAATCAAGTTCAAACAAAACACATTCAGTATTCAGTCTGTAAGTAACTCTTTCAATAATTTTGTTCAAGTATTTCTCAGTTACCTGTATTTCAATGGTCTTCAGCCTTGACTTCAATTTCTCATTCTCTTCTTGAAGTCTTAAAATTTCCTTTGAGAGTATATTCAAGTTTTATTATTTTAGCCAAAGTATTTTTAATACTTGAAATTACTTGTTTCACTTAAAAACTTAATCTTTAAATTAAATTTAAATTACATAATAGCTCAAAAACCTGCATGCACTGGTTATTGGTAATATTCCAATTTCACCTAGCCCACCAGCCTCAACACCTCTTGAGTCATCCTTGGCTCTAAGACTTCTAGTTCCTTCTTTCATAGTCTCTCAGACTCTTTTTATCCCTCTGTTCTCAGCCTTTTTCCCAACTCCCCCACCCCTGCCATCTTTCACCTAGCTGATCCTGCACCCCTTGGGTCTATTCTTGGCCTACACTGCACACCACTTACCACTTATCCTAAAAACACAGTCTTCATCATTCCAATACTCTATGTCCAACCCCTAAATGGTTGCCACTGAGACCACACGCCTTTGCTCTTAAGCAGCTCCATCATGCGAGTCACCTGTCAGTCCAGTCTCATTTCTTACTATACTCCAACACACACATCAGCCCAGTCAGCGAGCAGTGCACTGTGTTTCAAATCATGCCAGCCTCCTTTCTGCCTCTGACTGTTGCCCATTCTGTTCCCCTGCCTGCCATGCCCCCTTCTCTTCCCTCTGACAATTTAATCTGTCTTCACCTTTCAGCCCAGCTCAGGAACCACCTTCCCAAGAGCCTGTCCTCAACTACTCTTATCCACACGGAAACTGTCTTCTCTGCCACCCTGTGGCATCAGTGGCACACAGGTTACCATTCCCATCTCTGTTTTTAGAATATTAGTTCTCCCTTCCCAATGAGACTGTAAGGTTTTTGAGGGCAAAGGGCCAGGTATTGCACTTCTTTTTATCTAATAATATTTAGCATAAATAATGTTGAGAATACAGGAGTCATGAAAAATATGTGTATATTGGTGATTAATTTTTATAAACCTATTAACAAAAAAAAAAATCTCTCGTTATCACAGATCATAAACTTCAAATGTCTATCAGTAAACACAGTCCAAAATTCCGCGCTCTTCACTTCACCATGAAAAGATGCAACCAGGAGCTGCTTCAGACTCTTTGGAAGGTAAGTATGCCCTCTTCTGGCCCACCGGGTACCATTAAGTAAAACTACTATGACGGCTTAATTACCCTCAGGGGACCAAAGCCTGAATCGACCTCCTTCCACCTCAGTTTCTCTACCCTAGAGTTGTGCAGGCAATGAGAATACATAATTAGGGGGTTTGCCATTTCTCAAAATGATGACAACATTACCTTGTTTAGGAGTTCTGCTGTTCCACCTTCATTAAGTGGAGCAAGTTTTGGCTTTATGGTATCTATGATGGGCTGAAATGAAATAAAGAAACCAAACTGAAATCACCATAGAATAAATCAGGTGTAATCACTGAACACTTGGACTTTCTAAGTGGAAGACACTGTAAACATGTCCACTGGATGTCAGCTCCACAAGTGTGGGGACTTTCACTGTTTAGTTCTCTGCTACATCCCAGTGCCTAGGACAGTGCCTGGCCCATAGTGCCCAATATAAGTTAGAGATAAAAATGAAATTCATCCTCCTCATATCTTCTTAAAAAAATATAGATGGAAGAGAAAGGAGGGAGGGAAGGGACTCAAAACCAGAGCAGATACAGACCCTAGTATCTAGGGACTTGGATTTTACCCTCTGGGAGCTGAAACAGAGATTTCTGCATAAATCCCAGACTCTGGGAAAACTGTAACATTGATGAGGATTTAGGCAACTACATTACAGATGAATAACTTGGCACAAATATTCTGGAAATTTAGCAATATGTATTAAAAACAAAAGAATCCATGCCATCTGACCCAGAACTTCCTTAGCCAGAAATAGGTTCTAAAGGAATAACTGGAAAATTATTTTGTATGTGTATGTTCCTGGATTCATCTCAGCGGTTTGACTCTCCAACACCAGGGAGTAATTATAGTGCATCTATACAATGGAATGTTAAGTGATCATGGCAAAAATGAGAATGATTAAAATAAGAAATAGGTAACTACTAGTACTGTCTCCACTTGACAGAACAGGAAAACGAGGCTCAGCCATCTCAGGTACCCTGCTCAAGGTCCCACAGCTAGGGAGTCACAGAGCCAGATGTACACCCAGGCTTGGCTGACCCCCAAGCCTGTGTTCTGCATCATCTGAATGAAGAGTTTATATGGCTGAGTCAGACGGACTACAGGGATTTCGTGTGTGTGTGTGTATGAGAGAGAGAGAGAGAGACAGCAGACAAAAACAGTTTTTCATAGTTACTTCCAAAGCTTTTCTCCTTTTGCCTAAAAATCTGAGAGGCAATTTTTGAATTCTGCTTTTGAGTTGAATGCTTTTCCTTGAGAGTTCTCACTTTAGCCTCTTAATGCTCTGAGTGACTTGAGGATTTTAAATACAGGCTATTAAGGTATGGACTTAGAATGACCAAAAATTACCTTTTTATTTGAAGATGTAAATTCTGCTTTTTCAAATTCTGCAACTTGTTCTAATAATTCTCTTGAAGATAAAAAACAAATATGAAAAATATTCATTTGAAACAGATTTGTATCACACATTAGAAAAATAAAATCACTGGTACCAATCTATTACATGCCAGAGAGAACAGAGCAAGATGAACAAAACTAATTATTATCGAGGATATAGTTGATATATCTATATCAATATAACTATATAGGATATTTAGTTATAGTCGAGGATCCAAACCACATGGACTCAAATTTGAACATTCCGCAGCACCTAGTATTTTGCACCTACTGAGTGTAGAATATAATTGCTAGAACTAAACTACAATGTTAATACAAATATGTCTGAAATTTGCAGTCAATTTTTTTGTATTTTTGAGGTGCTATAGGGAGATTGCCCTATTATGTAATATGTATTGTTAGCTAGCAGATGTTCAAGAAAGACAAACTGATTTTAACAGAATAGTCTTGGAAAAATGGAATTAGTTCATGATATCTACTGAAACAGAGTATGATCAATTCTCAAGACAGACAGATGGTTTCGGGGTGATCCACCTGATCATTTCTTTTTATTTGCCAAGGTAAATGAGCGTTGACTGTATGAAAGCTTATAGAGTGAATGGCAGTAACTACTCTTTTAAGCTTCTTCATATGTCAGTTTCTCAAAGTTTTCTCACCAATTACCTACTGACAGTTGGTCACTTACATGGTTTTCCTTCCCTACCCCTACATCTCCTATTTTATCTTTAAAATATAAGAGTATAATTTTGAATGCAAATATTTAGAAATAAACTTCCAATACTACTGAATTGATAAATTTGAATTAATTTTTCAACTGTTCCATAATCTTTATTTCTTAGTTGACCTATCTCTAAAGACTTATCACACTGATCAGGCTAATAAAGATATCTTAAAATAATTAATAATAGCCTGGAAAGCAATTCCATAAATCTCAAAGGTCTTTATAACATGTAGGGACAGTAGCAACAGAGAATTTTGCAGAGGATGTTAGCGGCACCTAAGCGATCACTCAGTAGCTGGATGCTCTGCTGCCACCCCACCAGCGTTTTCTCACACACCAGCCCCAGGAAAAGCAGCAGTGAAGGCACTCGCTAGCTTTTACGATCATGCTTGGGCCTCGACAGTCATAACTGCAGGTAGAAATTTTGTTACCTGTTTTCAAGTTCAGAGATATCTGTTTGTAGCTTGAGGTACCACTTCTCAGCCTGCGAGAAAAGCTGCCGCAGGAGTAACACATTGGTATAGGCCGTGTTGATGAGCTCGGACTCCACCTCACCATGGACCACAGCCTGCAACCCGTTCAGGACTTCCAAGACTTCGTCTACGGTGAAGGTCTCCTCCACCAGCCTGAAAACCAACCGCGATCCAAAAATTCAGGATAAACAACAAAAACCATTTACAAAATAAAACAAAACTTAGAAACCCACATTTGTGTCATCCAAAGGATTAAAGGGTTATAGTGAAAATCTCTCTGGGAACCATCTTCTTTATTAATAAAACAGACTGAAAAAAATTTAAGCTCAATTAATTTTTGATGTCTATTTAAACAATTAAATTGTGGCTCCTTCTTCAAATGTGCACATCCTTTAATACAAGTACATGCTCAGAAACATTTCCTAAATTATATACTTTTTTCTTTAGTTTTTCAGTTTAAAATTTTTTTTACTTTAATCTCCCCTAACATTAGTCTTATCACTTTTAGAAATTTCAAAAGTCACCTGGAAAGTGTAATTTCTCCTTTCTTTCTATTATTTGTCTAGCATTTCAATAATTGTATGAACTATTCACATGTTAGTAAATGCCCATGAGAAAATCAGTGGTAACTATATCTTGCTTCTCTTAGCATTCTTGGGACCCAAAAGAAAAAAAAAAACCTAACATCTTTAACGGAGTTAAAGCTCCAGTGACCACTGACCATTCCATAAAAATGAACATCATCAATAGTATTAAAAATCCACTCTCACACAGAGAATGTCTGAGTTGGAAGGGAATGTCAGAGTCATCTTCTTCAATCTCCTCACTTTACAGATGGAACAAAGGCTCAGAGGAGTGACGTGCCCATGGTCCCACTCAACCCCACAATCACTTCCAGCACTCTTGGCAACATGCCCTACAGCTGGGTCCTTGGCAGAGCTTCTGTGCCTGCCCCCTACTTTCAACGACAGTTTCACAGTAACACAGTGCTTTCCTCTCCCTGCCGCCGCCCTCAGAGTCTCTTATCCATCGGACACTCAGCAGGCGAAGAGCAACCGCCTCAGGTTTATTTCTTCTTCACTTCCAAAAAGACATAAGGGAATTGCACCAAAGTCTTATCACAGTTATACTCCAGTTAATATTATTTGATTTACCATTCTTTAATGTTTCATTTAGCCAGCAGAATTTAACTACTCTAAAAAAATCAAAACTGTATTTTTGATGAAAGTCCTTATTAAATCCATTAACAATCTTTCTATATTCTTTAATAGAACACAACAAATCTGCTTAAAAAATGTGCTTTATTTTGGCAACCCCTGTTCATTATTATGAACAACATTAAGGTACTCGGATGCATAAAGTGAGTAATAAAGTACCTTCTCTGCCTGTCCCACAGCCTCACCAATTAAATGGTTGCTGACATCTGCTGGAGGTTAGGAAACCAGATTACCAGATTAGATCAATGGGTTGAACAAATAACGGTCTACTGTTGATGGTCTCTGCTACCGAGTGAAGTTCATGGCTTTACGACAGTTGTAGCTCTCTTTTTCATTTACGTCTTACTTGACATTTAAGTGTGCCAAAGTCTGATCCCCAAGGAATCTGATGTCTCTTTATTATTCAGTCCTTTTCTTTGGTTTCTCTATCATCCTGTAGATCAAACATAATTTTTCTATGGACTTTAATTATCTTCCATTACTGGTCCAACCAAACTAATTATCATCTCTTGCTACAAATCAATTAACAATTTTGGTATTAGTCAGCAAGCTATTCACGGTTTCCTGCTGTGTTCCCCTCTCCCAATTCAGTATGAACTGCATAGGTGTTTTCTTGCTAATTGTCATGTCTTATGGCTCTAATCTTTTAATTAATAACTCAAGTAAATAAAGTTCTGGAATCTTTAATACAGCAAGCCAATCATTAACCTACAAGCACTTCACAATTTCCTGACTGCCCTTCTGAAACTTTGCAATCCCATAATTATCATACGTGCATGTTTGATAATAGATTGCTCCCACCACAATCCAATTTCCTGAGTTTCACATTTCCATGACCCTTCATATAGCGGCTCTCAGTGAATAACTGATCATGATAATCCCAGCAATGGTTTGTATGGCCTCTGCTATGGCATCCCCATACTGGCTACCAAAAAGGATCCATGTTCCCAGTGGGTTTCCTTAGAGTCCTCTGATACCTGCTCTCCTTGAGGTCTTGGAAGCAGGAATCTACAGTTTTGAGTCTCAAGCCTCTCTTTGAACGAGCAAAACGCATATAATTAATAACTTCATTTTGATGATGCTCATTTAGGCCCAATTCTGCCTGAAAGAGAGAAAAGTAATGTAATTTGTTAGTCTTGAAGATGTAATAAAGGAACCAACAATGAAAACATACAGGATCTCCTGTGGTGGAGACTGCTAGATGTCCACTAAATTCTGTTTTTTCCTTCTTCCAGAGTACAGGGCTGCCCAACTAGAGGACACTTCCCAGCCCTCCTTGCAGTGGGGTGTGGCCATGTGACTATTTCTCAGCCATGGATGTAAGCAGAAGGGATGAGGGCTATTTCCTAAGCCTGGGCCTTAAGACACAGGGTGCACCTTTGCCACACCCTATTTCTCTGAAACCTAGGGGTTGGGGGAACAGCAAGATGAAAGGGACCTGTAACCCTTAATGACTTCGTGGAGCAGCACTGACCCACTCACCCAACTGAGATGAGCACTGAGGTGGCCGTTAAGTGAGAGAGAAATAAACTTCTTTAAGCCACCGTTTTTTGGATCTCTATTAAAGCACCTTAACCTTACCCTAGTTAAAACAGCTTTAAAAAATATATGTGGTTTTGAAACAGCCATTAATTGGTCTTGATTTTAAACCAGATGAGAGCTTGACAATTACGGACTAGAGATTAATGAAGTTCTTTTTCATTTTATAGCTATACTGAAAATTAAAGAAGGAAATTATAAAATTGAACATCTAATATAGGGGACTAAATGAGTCAGAATTATCTTTATTTTAAGAATTAAAACTTGATCTATTGTAGCCTTCTTATGGGAGACAAAGATCTAACTTCCAAGCCTGTTTTTCAGGCTTTCCTCTCACTCTCAGCACACAGCGTTGCCTCCAATACTGTGGAGGCCAACACCAAGGTCACTGGGCATAATCTCCTTCCCCCACCAAGTCCCTCACCACAGCTTTTCTGCATCCACATTCTTACCTCCTCCCAGCAGTCTCAATTTCCTTAGAACATAAGTCTACAAAGGCAGGCCCTTGCCATTTCTGGTTCCGTGAGGTATCCCCAGAACTTCTCATAGTGCCTGGCACACAAAAGACAGGTGCCCGACAAATGAACTTCAAGAGTGTTCCACCTTTTGAAGGTCACTCCTTCAGGAGGCCCTAATCTGTTTCGTCCAAACTCCTGGGGGACTTTATTTAGCCAATTATTCCCCTTCTCAAGACACTATAGGTTTCTTCCTCCCTTCAGGCTATAGGGAAGACTACGCATATAAACCTCATTCACGCTACAAAACAAACAAACAAAAAAACCCCAAAACCTGAGATCCCCTCTAGCCACCACTGCATTCTATTCTCCACTTCCCTTCTACTCTCCCTATCTCCGTTCTATCATCTAAACCCATATGCTACTCAAATTGCTTTTGAAAAGCTCACCAGCAACTTCTTAATTACAAATCCAACTAACATGGCTGATGCCTTGCTCTCAGCTGACCTGCTCCCTTCTTTGGTTGCTGACCCCACCTTTCCTTCTTCTTCTTTTTTTTTTTTTTTGTGAGGAAGATCAGCCCTGAGCTAACATCCATGCCAATCCTCCTCTTTTTGCTGAGGAAGACTGGCCCTGGGCTAACATCTTCCTTCACTTTATATGGGACATCGCCACAGCATGGCTTGACAAGTGGTGTGTCGGTGCACGCCTGGGATCCAAACCCAGGCTGCCAACAGTGGAGTGCCCACACTTAACCGCTATGCCACAGGGCCGGCCCCCACCACCTTTCCTTCTTGATCTCATTTGTAGGCTCCTCTTCTTGGGCTTGCCTCTTAAATATCTGTATTTCCCAGGGCCCTGCCCTTGGACCCTTACTCTTCTCACTCTGTATCTTCTCCTTGATGACATAATCTATCTTAAGGTTTCCACTATTACCTATATGCATATGACGCTCAAGTACAACAGGCTGGCCTACAGATATGTATCCTTGACTGCATGATGCACAGCTCCACGAACTCTTTTTCTCCTCCTACATTGTATTTAATATTTCCACAATTCAAGACACTAACGTCTAACAATTGAAGAACTACCCAAGATATCATGATGCTCTCTAATAGTTATTTATCCAGTAGACTAATGCTTCAGAACAACCAGTTGAGGTATTTTGTCGAATGTAAACCAACACATTTCAGGTATGTACTTAAATTTCATGACTCTACCTGATTTGATTAAACTGGTAATTAAGATTTTGCCTTAGGGCTAGACAATGTGGAAAGAAAGAAGGAAGAATTTTCTTATGTTTTGGTTTATATTGTATTTATCCTCAATACAACCCTATGAAAACAGTAATATTCCTACTTTACAGAGAGAAAATTGTTGTACAGAGAAGAAATTTTTCCCAAACTACTGAAAAAGTAAGTGGGAGAGGAGGGATCTGAATCAGGCAATCTAACTCCAGAGCCCTCACTCAACTCTGCTGTTTCAAATCCTTTTAGAAATATGGCAGAATTTAAATAAATAAGAGAACATATACATGTTAGAGTTGCATATGCACCTGAGTTGTGACTCACAAGGCAGATTTCCGCTAGGCATTTAAAAAAAACCCCAAAACTGAACACCTACGTTAGAAACGATGTTATTTCTTATAGTCACAACAGTATGAGCAAGAATATCCCACAATTTGGAAATACCTCAAAACAATGTCGCAAGTTGTTAAAAAAAAAACCCATAAACTCAAATGCTCAATCATTCTTCATTGTTTATAGTACATATTAAATCTACAATCCTGAGCCCTCCAAACTCCCCAAAATCTTTCTCTAACACTGCTTCCCAGGACTAGTCTGCTCATCAGCTCTGAAGCATGACTTAACATTTCCTGCCTATACTTTCACTCTAGTTACCTGATCCTTGACTAAAACTACTTCTCCATTCCTGTTTAAGAATCTGAATCCTACCCAGTGGTGTGCTGGTAAATGTTTAACAAGAGGCTTGGGGAGTGGGGGGAGATATGAAACTCTGCTTTGTAGCCCTTGCTGATTTCCATGGTGTAAATACTCCCACCATGGCTGATTTCAAGCTACCAATATAATGTCACTGAATGCAGAGGTGAGAAGACATGCATGCAATTGGCTCTCAGCAGCCAGTACAAGCATGCTCCAGCACATCACTGAATTCCTACCCATCCTTCAAGGCCAAACTTATTCTGTGAAGCCTCCCAATATACCTCAGTAACTCTAGTTATGCCTTCCTCCAAAAACTAGCACATACCATCTCTGCTGCTTATCTGGTGCCACCACAGACTGATTACTATTAGTTGTCTTTTTTTTTTTTCCCCCAGGTGTTGCTTCTCCAACTAGACTGTAAGCTCGTGAGGGCATGAATCATTTCTTACAACACACAGCTCCTCATACAGGGCCTTGTACAGAGTAAGTGGCCAATTCATATCTGTTAATTATTTTCTCTCCTGTCAAGAAGAGTTAAGATTGTCCTAAGAGCAAGAAGAAAAAATTACTCAAACTGAGAAGGATGAACTTTAGGACAAAAGACAGAAAAGTGCCTTTAAAATCGAAGGGAGTGAAGACAGGGGGCAGAAACGGGCAGCTTAGTTCAGTAGGAGAAAAAGCATCAGCTCAGGAAATGGCTTCTACTTCCGCATATGCACACATGTACACTCTACATACCCGAGTCAAATCGCTCGAGAAATAAAGGAATAGGTTCATGTGTGGTATAAGCAGACAGAGCACTGGATTAAAAACCAAGTTTAAGTCAAGTCATGCAACTGTCTGTTACCAAATCACTTAACTTCATTGACACCAGTTTTAACATCTGTTAAATGAGAGAGGTAGATGTGATGATCAGCTCTAAAATATTTAGAAACAATGGGAGGTATCCAAATAGGTAAATCAGAATTTGTTTGAATTTTGTTACAGAAATATCCTATTAAAATAATAAAAAGAGGTAAAAACATAAAGCAAGAATCCTACCAGAGCACTGCCAAGCTAGCGTCCTGAAATTGTGCCATAAAGTGAGGGGGAGGGGCATGAAGGTACCAGAAATGGTTCCCTGTTCCTGCTGATGCCCAAAAATCCACATACAATTTTACTCTGCGAAGTACGAAGAAAATGTAATAATAAAAATGAGCACAATCTAATAAAACCTATCATATATTGTTTAATTTTTAACAGGTACTGTGCTATTTATTTTATGTGCATTCTCATTTATCATTTTAACAACCCTAGCACAATTATTACCTGCATTTACTAATGAAGAACCTGAGCCTGACTCCAAAGCCTCCATTGTTAAGCAAATTGATAGAAAGGAATGACAGAAGATAGAATGGGAGCAGATGTCAATTTTTTGTAACATTACTATCATCATTTTTTCAACCAGTTCTTCATATTTTAGGGAAACCAAGAGAATGAGTGGGACAGGCTCTAAGCTCAAGAAGGGTAGGGAATGGTCTGTTTTGTTCACAGCTGTAACCTCAGCTGCAAGAAAGTGCTTGTAACACAGTATGGGCTAAACAGGTTGCCGAGGTATTTCAGTAGCCCATTTCAGTGGTGCCCCCAACCCTGGTTTCATTCCTTTTTATGAACACTTCAGTACTGTGCATTGTTCTAAATACGGTTGCCATTTAAGTTTGCAAGCTGAATCTGCTGGAGAGATTAATGGGATATGTTTTAGCACACACGAAAACGTGGCCTCTTTTGAACAGGTGAAAACCAAAGATATGTCACCCAAGTTTCCTCAGCTGTAAAATGGGGGGCTTGGGTTCTTAAAGTCGCTTTCACATCAGAAAGTTGGATTCAATCACGTTCTCCCTTCTCGGCTCATTAACACGTAATTGTTTATGCTGCCAAAGGGTTTGCGTGTTTGTGTGTAAAAACTTGGAGTTTTGGGAATCGAACGAGAATCCCGCCCTGCGCCTTCTGCTGGCAGCCGGTTCCCTCCAGCTCTCTTCACCAGCCACCTGCGAGGTGCGACTTGGCCCGGACACTCCAGGCAAGGGCGAGGAAGGAAGCGACGCGGCGAAGCGAGTCTGCTAGGAGAGGGCTTCACCTAGGATTATCCCGGAAGGGCTTCGGCCGAGGTTAACTGAGCCTCCCGCATCCGGCGCAGCCTCCCGTCCTCAGGGAGGCCCAGGAGGGGACTCAGACCGCTGCAGGCCAGGCCACCACTCCGGGCCCCCGCTCTGCGTCTCCAGCCCCGGCCGCTGCCCTCTCCTGGGCGCAGTGCGGCGCCACTGGGCCGGCTACTCACCATAGCGGCGGGCGGGCGTCAGCAGCCTAGAGGAGCGGGAGAACCCAGGCAGATCCTCGCCAGGCCCGGGATCGCCGAGGGGGGCCGAACCGCAGAAGCTGCGGAAGGAGCGCGGGTTGTTTAGAAGCCCCCGGTTGCTAATGGGAACGGAGGCACGTGACTCTGGAGTTATGCACTTTTATTGGTCCTCAAGATCACGCGACAGGAAGTGCAGTGTGCCTAGCGGACCGCCGCATGCGCATTGGCTTCCAGAGCCAGGAAGTCCCACCTTTTCGCGCCACGATGACTTCGGGGCTGGCCGCCGTTGCCAATGGTAACGAGAGGGCTGCCGCCGGAGCGTCGGAGGCTGGGTTGCTGTGAAGATCTTGTTCCTCACTTCTCGCGGCCTGGCGGCCCAGAGGGTCAGGGCCTCGACGCTGAGTGCTGAGCTTTCAACTATCTCATGGGGCGTGTGTTGCGCGCGCCCGAGACTTGTTTCTCTTATCCGGGAGGTCCTACTTGGCCGAGAGAGGCCAATAGCACCAGCGCTGCTAGCTCCTGGGTAGAGCTTTGAGCGATCCTCCCCCCTGGGCCGCCCCCCCCCTGCTTTTTTTCTTCCTGGTAAAAATCTCTAATATAGCACTTCTTCCCTTAAAAGATAATCGCAAACGGAGTCGGTGAAAAAGCAGTGAATTTCAAACTATTATACCTAGAATCACCAGGGAAGCTTGTTGAACAAATGCTTCCCTGGCCTCAACCCCAGAAATTCTGAATCACGAAGTCTAGCTTGGGTCCTTGGAATCTGCAGTTTTTACTGACACTCCAGGGGTGATCACGGACCGCTTTTTAAGAAACACTGTTCTAGAAGAGGCAAAGGTGTAGGATGAGATAGATTATTGCAAACACCAGGGGCTTGGGGTTGGGTGAGCGTTTCAGCAAGCTCAGAAGACAGAAACGTGAGCCAGACGCTGTCACTAGGGAGGCAGTGAGAAGCTAAAAAGTGATCTCAGCGCCAGACATGGAAAAGAAGGAGTATAGAGCGGGGAGCTTTCTGAGGATCTGCGAAACTTAAAACTGAGGAGAGAGATTTGGCATTAGCCCTGACTCATGAATGGATAAGCTAACTTAGATAATGCTTTTTGGGTGTATGTTGATTTTGGCCACTACACAGTGCAACTTAAAATGGATCACAATTGGGACCTAAAAGTCTAGAAAGGATTTTAGAGACCTGGCTCCACCTGCTTAATTTAGAGATGAAGAGACTGAAAGCTAAAGTCACATGTCCAAGACCTCAGAGGGCTAGGTGGGGGCATCTGACGCCCGAGTCTGTGATGAAACTAATGCAAATATGTTTTCAAGAGCAAACCCAGAAAGCAGGTGTGAACTATTCTGGTACAGTGGATCTTAAATATTCTGGTTTCAAGAATTTCATTTTTCTTTTCATTTCTTGTCACATTCATTTTATTCAGTGTAAATGATGTACCAAATTATGTACAAAGCTGAGTAGTTGTCCCAAGAACTGAGCTCAATACTTTGTAGATTTGAAACTTTCATTGCTAGAACAAAGGAGTAGCAGACAAATTCTGTAGAATAAAGCTAACTTACAAAGGGATGATGTGTTTAGAAATAGAGGGGCAGCAATGAAAACATGTTTGTCAGTTAAATGGTCAATACAGTAAAATGGAAATAATCAAAATGGATAATTTTCAATTCAGACAAAGTAAGAGCTAGAAGGAAATAGTGTTTTCAGATGAAGAAAGGCGGCTTGGAAGAGTAAAGGGTCTTGCTCAGTAATAGAGGCAGCAGAGCCAGGTCTGGAATCCAAATCTCATGATTACTGGCAAGAGTTCCTTGACCATTTAGTCCCACCCAAATACAGGTGACAGGGCTTTCTCTTCCTAATTTATGCCCTGGATGTAAAGCCCCTCACCCTCTGGTTAGGGGAGCTTCTGAGCGTCCCATGACTGTTGAAAAGCGAGGGGAGAAAGGGCAGTTTTCCAGTTTGCACGGGACTTGGCAAAGTATTGGGGCACAGTCAGGAGTCCTTCACTCGAATGATCCGGGGCTAATATGCAGGCAGTCGCCTATGGAAGGATCTCAAGCCTCAGGGACAAGATGAGCTGATAAGGCTCCCCTGTGTGTAAGCTGGAGCACTCCCAGGCATGGAAAGATAGTCTTGAGGCATTGGACTGGCTACGCCCAACTTCACTTTGGCCTCCCAGTGGCATCTGGGCAGAATCTCTGTCTCCCTGCAAGGTCTATAAGGGAAGATTCTCACCTGCCTCCCCATCATGACCCCCTCCAAGCTCAGTTAAATTTCTACTTTACCATGCCATCTCTCACATTTCTGTTCGGTGAGTGTTGACCTTGATAATAGATGCCATTATTTAGTGCCTACTGTGGGCTAGACATATTCCATTCCAATAGTTAATCCTCACAATCTTTGGTTCTTTCTTACTACAGTAGACTTTCATTGAATTCATATAGAGAGAAGGTCACTTTAGTAGGTGTTGTGGATGTAAGATAAAGAAGGAATTTAATAGACATTTTTATGACATTTAAGTAAAGTTGTTCATCAGTGTGCATTTCTAAGAAACTTAAGTGTATTTTCCTACAGGCAAACTCCTGAGCTTGGTGAGTGTTATTATTAATGCAGGGGGATCAAAGCAGTGGGTGGATAATGTGAATATTTCATTTGTGAGTATGTTTGTGGCATGGGGATTCTTAAAGTTGTTCTGCAAAGCTGCATCAGCTAGTTATTTTAATTTAAAATTCTATTTTAAATCTAAAATCTTCTGTTCCAGGGATGTTATGATATCACTGTTAGCCAATGTACCCAGCTGAGTTGAATATGGTTACATAAGCTGTCTAAACAGTGTCAGCAAATATGAATATGTATTTGGTCTTAAATTGATGACTTTGGCTCATGAAAAGGCTGAACTTGTGCTTCAGGTTGTTTACTAGCGTGGGTTGGTTACCAAAGTAAACAGTTCGAGCTGTGAGAGAAAACAGCTCCACCGTACTTTAATAGTGAGCTATTTTTTTAAATTGCTGTGACAATTTTAAAAATGTGTGCGCGCGCACGTGTGTGTGTGTGTGTGTGTGTCGATTTGGAAGGACTAGTTGGGAGGCATACAGAGAGGGCAATATATATCTTTTAGCATAATTCAACATAAATAAAATGAAGATCAAGTCTGTCTTTTTAGATTATTACAAAATGAGACTCTTATGAGTTTTCTAAATTACCAGTCATAACACTGGGACTACCAGTTTTGGGGTGTTTACAACCTAGGCTAGGCAAAAGGAGGAATGGGAAGGTGATCATGGTCTCCTTAGCTGTGTTGACAGATTCCCTCATTCTGCCTTTATTTACAGAGCCCCCTTTGGTGTGCAAGGTTCTGTGGCCATGAGAGTGAGCATCTGAGGGGACAAGGGGAGGGACAGGAGCCCCCACCTTCCCCTACTCTACGGGTCTTTGCAAGAGGTTGAGGGGACTAAGGTGAGGCTTTACTTAAGTAAAAAGAGGAAATAATAAAGAAGATGATTAAGTGAAAAATAATACAGGTGGTACACAGAAAAGGCAACAATCTTGAAGGTAATATGGGAAAGAGGAAAGTTTGAGAAGCACTGAACTGTTAGTAGGTGGGCCATGGTTAGGGAAAATCATTTGGGAGGATTATCTTGAAAAAGGCAGAGCTTTTGGAGTATGGCTTCTTGCATGTAATGCTACCAAGGTCCCTTCCAACTTCCCCTACCCTGCCCAGTTACAAGTGAGAAAGTGGCCAAGACTTTAAAGAAGGGAAGAACCCAGGATTGAAAGAGTCCTTATAGGGGCTGTGGCATTCGAGTGGGTCTTTAGTGGGCAAGAGGCTATTTTCAGTTCTTCCGCTGTTTGCTCCCTCAGTTGATTGGTTTCACAATGCTCTAGTGACTGGCAGAGTATTGGAGGGTGCTGACGAATTCGATTAGTGAAATCACTATCACATGCATTAAAGGAGGTCAGGCAAGGAAGTGGTTCACCATAAAATACTACAACTCCCTTTAAGATTGTGTGGATGACGGTAATTTCTTAGCCCAAATGTAGATTAGTTTCACTGATAAATGTCCATACATTAAAACACCCCAAAGGAAACAAACACAAAAACCATCAAAAAGTGAAGTCTACCTAAAAAAAAGTTAGGAATTGGTTGTGAGAAATACCTTCTTGTGAAGTATAAGAAAAATTTCCTGTAAATATGGCGATATGTGCTGGATGCTTATTCCATGCCCTCAAGTGCACATATACGTTTGAGTTAGACCCACCAGCTCAGTCCTGTGCTCAGCGATTGTTCGTGGAAAACTGAACAAATGAAAGACACTGTGGGGAAGGAAACGATGAGCAAGGTGGGATTTGTCCCTTTCAAACGTGGCCTTATAATCAAGTCAAGGGAAAATGCAAGCTTGCAGAACAATCTCAAAGCAGGCAATAAGTGGTACGGGTGTTCAGAGAAGAGAAAGGTCACCTCTATTGAAGGAGGAGTGGAGAAGTTCAGGAGAGTCTTCCAAAAGGCAGAGAATTTGGGCTAGGCTTTAAAAGGTGTGCAGAAGAGTTGTGGGTAGGCATGATGATTGTGAGGGAGAGAAGATTATTCTGAGCAAGGAACCAGAATTTTCATCAGGTGAGGCAGTAGAAGTGTCCAGAGATGTACATTTAGATGTGTTATTATTTCAAGGGTCAAATTGCAAAAAAAGATATACAATGATGGAGTACCCATACTAGTGTCTTATTCAGGAATGTGGGCTTTCCTAGATCTGTAATCTTTGCTAAATGTTTACCTGGATTACTGTCAATGTAAAGATGTTCACCAATTGCATCCCATCGTAGAAAATGGAAAACAGACTTAAATTTGCTGAGAAAGTTTTGCTTACAAAGGTGGGGTAAGTAGTCCGTTTGGAAAGTCTGAATGGCCCAGTGCAAACTGTGTTCATGAATGCAAGTTTTCTTAATGGGATGGGTAGATAGAATGAAGGCAAAAGGAAATATCATTTTTAGTCAGTTTATATTTGTTTGTCTTTCCTACTACATTTTCCAGCTCCTTGAAGGGAGGAATCTTTATTATATGATCAACCTGA